GAGCCCCCTCGGCCCCGGGCCCAGGGCGGCGTGGCCGGAGTGGGCGGGGGTCCCGATGCAGGCCCGAGGGGGGCCATGGGGCAGGTCCTGCCGGTCTTCGCCCACTGCAGTGAGTAGGGGAGGCTCGGGCCTGGTGTGGAGACCGGAGCCCTGGGTGGGCTCCTCTCCGGTGTCCCCTCCGAGTGGAGCTTCAGGAGGCCGGGATGGGGGAGGCGCAGAAAGAGACAAAGGAAGCTCTCCCCTCCCCCCCCACCCGCGTTCTAGCGACGACGGGGGGTGGGGGGCGACCTGCCCGGAGAACCTGAGTGAAACGGGGCAGAGGTGGGGGTAACTGAGATAACTGGCTGGGGTGGGAGTCGCCCAGGGCGCTGGGATTTGTGACCCGGTCCCTTCGGGGCCTGAGGGCACTCACCGGGAGCTGTCCCTTCGCCCTGGTACTGGCCACAGCTGGCGGGGAGGAGAGTTGCATCGAGGGGGAGCGTCAGCATGGAGAAAGAGGGTTTGACCCTCCCCTCATCGCACATCTTCGTATCCCACCTCGGTCCTCTGTCGAGACTCAGAGGCGGCCCCAACCTCACCCAAATTGTCCAGTGCCCTGTCCGCGGGAAACAACCGACCCAGGGTTGGGGCCCAGGAATCCTGGATCCCTAGCGAGCTTCACTCCTGATTAATAGTAACCGTGGAGGAGACCCACTCCATTGAGGGACATTCCCCAGCTGAGGAAACCAGGTGGGGGCAGGGGCATCCAATTTCAGTTTCCAAAAGCCACTGAACATCTCCTGTAGGCAAAGCCTCAAGCTAACCCGGAGGGTCACCGTCCCAAATTGAAAACCCCTGTTTGATCCTCCCCAGCTCTGAGCTCATAGCCAACAGTCCTTGTCTACCATTTTCATCCCACACCCTCATGTTTCTGCCAAGTGGGGGTTTCACCTAACCACTTGCATGTCTTGGGGGTTCAGGTGATTCTAAGAATTTGTTATTTCAACATTTTAGAGGCTCGTCACAATATTCTAAAGGTCTTGTCCTTACCTCTGCTTACCTAGGAAGACTACATGAGCTCCCCGGCCTTACCTCTCTGCCTTCATCTCCACCCTTTCCCCGGGGTCACTCTGCTACATCTTCACACCTCTCTGTTCCCCAAGTATGCCAAGCACAGTCCCTAGCTCAGGTCCTTTGCACTGATTTTTTTGCTGTGCCTGGAAGAGTCTTCCCGAAATATCTTCATGGCTTCCTCACGCACTCTCTGCTCAAATGCCGTCTTATCAGAGAAGTCCTGCTGACCACCCTATCTGAAATCAGAGCACCCTTCACATTCTCTTTTCTCATTCTCCACACATTTAGCACTCACATCATACATTTAAGTTTTCATCCGCTGTCTGCCCCGTGGAGCATAAGCTATATAATTTTGTCTGTTTTGTTCACAGTTGTGTTCTCAGGGAATACAACTATGCCATATAGTAGGTGCTTTTTAAGTAAAATGGTTGTTGAATTAGTTGAAATTTAACATCTCCAGCTTGAAGATGAAGGGTTAAGGGTCTTGGAATTGAACTTCTGGCCATGCTACTAAGGTTTTACAATCTGTATTTAGAATGTTCTAAAGGTGCTGTAGTTCAAATATTCTCAGTTTCCTTAATTCAGACCATCCAAGTTTCCAGGACTGGCACCCTTCTGTGATTTGATGGTCTAAGAGCCTCCGATTCTTTCCTTCTCGCAGAAGAAGCTCCGTCTACAGCCTCCTCTACCCCTGACTCCACAGAAGGTAAGCGGAGAGGGAGGATTTAAGAGTGGGTCTTGGGCTGGGGTGTCGCAGCCTGGTGAGGACAGCGGAGGAGAGTGGGCCAGAGTCCCTCTCAGAGACACTCACAGGCCTCCTTTGCTCACTGCAGGAGGGAACGACGACTCGGATTTTCGGGAGCTTCACACAGCGCGAGAATTCTCAGAGGACGAGGAGGAAGAGACCACGTCGCAGGACTGGGGCACCCCCCGGGAGCTGACCTTCTCCTACATTGCCTTCGACGGCGTGGTGGGTTCTGGGGGTCGCAGGGATTCAGCTGCACGCCGCCCCCGGCCTCAGGGCCGTTCAGTGTCGGAACCTCGAGATCCGCCTCCTCAGCCTGGCCTGGGAGACAGCTTGGAGAGCATCCCCAGCTTGAGTCAGTCCCCCGAGCCCGGGCGCCGTGCTGACCCCGACGTTGCCCCTCCAACTGAGCGCCCCCTGGAGGATTTGCGGCTCCAGCTGGACCAGTTAGGCTGGCGGGCTGGGGACGCCGAGTCTGGAGAGGACTCTGCCACCGGTAGCTCCACCCCGCTGGAGGACGAGGAGCCCGAAGGACCCGAAGCTAGAGACGTTGGCCAAGGTGAGATTGCCTGGAGCTGAGAGTGAAGTCAAAGAGGCGGGTGGTCTTACGTGGGGCCCTTCCAAAGTGAAAGCTCACAGCCTTCTCTCTCTAACGTGCCAGAACTGAACCTACAACTCGGACTCGCGCCTTCTTCGCTGCCTGAAGTCTTGACTCAGCAGCCCAGCCCCGTCCCTGGGACCCCCCAAACCTGTACCCCGTCCCCTCCCGGGTCTCGGGATTCGAACTCTTGGCCTGATGAGCCCTCCCCCGAGGAGAAGGAGGGAGAGCGGTGGGGGCAGCTGGAGCGGGAACCAATCACGGGGCAGTGCCTCGACATCACAGACCAATCGGAATTCACACTGGAGCCACACCTCCTAGGTAAGCGGCTGGAGAGAGCGCGGCTTTTCCGTCGCGAGGGTGGGGGTGGGAGCGTAAAGAGAGCAGCCCCCCACGCCCCCAGGGACAGAGGGGAGTGGCCAAGGGAGGAGGCCCTGCGCCTGGCTGGACATTTTCAACGTCGCTCTTAAAGTTTTTTCTCGTTAAGATTGCTATTGGCTGCTGCTGCTGCTTTTCTATAGCTCTCCCTCTCCCTTGGGAAGTTGATCCAAAACAAAACCAAAAGCCAGCCCAACGAAAAACAGCCCCGTTGAGGTCTGCCCCTAGAGGCGGTTTGGACCGGCCAAGTCTCTCAAACGGAGGCTGTCCTCTCTGGCCACGAGGCTGACGCTCGCACCTTTAAGGGCAACTCCCCGCCCAGCACACTCGCCGGCCGGCGGCAGGCCGACCCCTGCCGGGAAGATCCGCTCAGCCTGCTGGTGCAGCCCGGGGCGGCTTATTGGCATCCGTGGTTTTGGCTGTTTACTAAGAAAGCCACCCGGTTTGGGATTTGTCCCACCTCTGCGGAGAGCCATTGGCTGGGTACACCGGGGCCCGCCCCTCTCCTCCCTCCCTCCGGGTTCCCCTGAAGTGGGCCAAATCCCCCTGAAGCAGCGGCGTCTGCAGCCTCTCAGTCGAAGCAGAGATGGGGAGTAAAGGTGGGTTTTGTGGGTGAGGGTGGAAGTTGGGGTGTGTGTGCTGGGATCCAGGTCAGGATCCGTGGAATCCGGGATCCCATTGGCTCCTGTTTTCCTTAAATCTGGGGGGAATCTGTCCCATTGGTTTCGGGTTCCCCAGAGCTGCAGGCTAGGCCTGGGGCTGGGGTAACAGACCTGGTGTGGAGGGCAGGAGTGGAGCAAGCGTGGGGTCCCCTCTTCTCCGACCCTGGGCTTTAGGACCCAAGTACAGGGAGCCCCCCCTCCCCTGCCTCAGGCCCAGGAGGTGCTGTCACTCAGGAGCTGGACTGGCCAGCACAGCTGCGCAAGGCCCCCTCCCCCCAGGGAGCCTAAACTTAGCCCCCGCCTCAGACGACCCGGCCCCTCCCCCCACCCACTGGCGCCAGCCTGGGCCTGGGGATCCTGGTGAAGAGGGCCTTGTGTTGGGGGGCGTGGAGAGGGGACTTGGGGGGAGGAGAAGAAGGCCTGTCCTAGTTGGAGCACGTATAGGGGGGATCCAAATGTGAGGGGAGTCCCACTGAAGGGGACAGGCCGCTGTGGATCAGGGTTTGACTGGGGGTGGGGGTGTCTGCCAGGAGATGGAAGGGTCCTGGGCTCTCAGTTGAGGGTCTAATAAGAGCAGATTACTGAGGCTGCCCAAGGGCATGTGCGTCAGTGAATTGCTGCGGTCTGGAGGTGAGAGTCAGGCTGGACTTGGAGGTGGGTTGGGGTGACAGAAAGGCTAGGACATTCGACCAGTGCAATTCGCAGGGAGCCTGGTGGTGCTCATAGCTCACTTCGAGGTGTCGGTAGGGGTGTCAAGGAGCTATCAG